TTGATGTGATAGAATTCTTCTGCTATATGGATGATTCTCTGTAAATCTGTTCTATTGTTTGTTGTCCATGTTGTATCATTCATATATGCATTAACCGCTATATTGGCAGTTCTCTTTTCCCATCCTACTTTGAGATCTGAATATGTTTTCGAGCTGATTGTGTATCCTTTGTGTTGTTGACTGATCATGGATAATAGTGGATCATAGAAAATGCGCCATAGCAATAGTGATATTGTGTCTCCTTGATCTATTCCATCTCTTACCGAGTACTCGTCTGTTAAATCATGGCATGTTATGACTGCATTGTACCAATCTTGGAATATGCTGAGCAGAACAGCTATTATTGTATCTGGAACCTTGATCCTTTGGAGGGCCAACTGTAACATCTCTAGATTAACAGAGTCATATACTTTTGACATATCTTGGCTCAGAATCCAGGCTTGTTGTTTGGTTTCTTTTGCGTATTCAATGATACTACTGATTATATAGATTGGATCTTGAGTACTGCTGCCTGGAAGTGCCACCCAGTTTAGTTCTGATAGTATTTCTTTGTTAGTCAGACATCTGGCTAGCCTATTTGTGATAATTTTGGTGAATATTTTCCTGCCTGCATCAAGCAACGTGATTGGTCTGGTTATATCTAAATTGTGTGCCCAGTCCTTGGGCTTTGGTATGGGATATATATGTTCTCTGCTCCATTCCCTAGGTGTAGTACCTTGCCGGATGATCATGTTGAAGATCACTTTTAATTCTTCTTTTACTTTGTTTTTTAGATATTTATATGTTAGGTATAGTATCTGGTTGGGACCCGAAGATGATTTCGAGCTACGTTGTTTAATTGCTTGTGTGATTTCTTCTATTGAAATCTCATTTATCATGTCTTTGTAGTAATGTTGCTTGATGTGTGATTTAGGTCTATATTTTGATTGCCACCTGGGATATCATTCTAGGTTTTGGATATTTCTGTGTGGTGTCCAGTTGTAAAAATGTTTCTTTACCTTGGTTTTGATTTCTGCAGGTTCTGTGACTATCTGTACTTCCTCTCCTTGTTGAAAGATGAGTCTGTCTAGTTGTATCTGTCTTCTTGGTCTTTCTAGAATACTGTTAATCATGGCACGCTTATCATTGTCATATTGCTCTTGTCTTATTGTGATTCTTCTTTTTATTGCATTGTTCTGTCTTCTGTGTGCAATAGCCTTGGCAATTGTTTTGTGTACTTTTATGCTGCCTTGGATCTCCTTGAGCCAATTTTCCGGATATGTATTGGGATGTTCAGTTTCTAGTTTGGCGAGTGTGATTGCCAGGTCAGAAATGGATCTTTGTATGTTTACTGGGATTTGAAGCGACTGATGCGATTTTTCTTCTTCTTTGCCTGTCAGGTGTTGTCTAACTTGTATAAAGAAATTCTGTAGATGAATTATGAGTGTTATCTCTTCCCTGTCTTTAGCTTGATGTCTTTTTCTCCAATGGGATTTCTTTTTTGAAATAAATTTTTTGGCTGTCTTCTGGATAGTGACGCTGAAATGATTCCATCTATAGTCTATAGACTGATAGCTTGAGCATTCTGTTTGTATATTGCACTCGATGTGGTCATTGAATTTTTCCCATTGTTGCACTGTGGTGAGTTGCCAGTTATATCTGTGATTGTGTTTGTGATATGTTACCTGTTTGGGTGTGTTGAGGTTCATACTTCTATTTCTGATATCATTGTGACATGGTCACTCGAGATTGATGGTGTGGTGGAGTCTTGGATGGTGGCTGTCCTTGATTGCCATGTCATCTGTGGGCTCATCCATATTTGGTCAATCTTACTGCTGCTTCCCCCTCTACTTCATGTGTATTCTCTTTTTGTAGGGTTGTGCATTCTGTATATGTCCTCCAAGTTGTTGTCCAGGAGGATTTGTATTTGTTTTTCTGAGGGGTGGTATTTTTTGATTGTCTTTGTGTTGCTGTGCTTATCGATTGCTAGGTTGAGAACACCGTTCATATTCCCTACTACTATTAAGTGCCATCCTTTTTTTGTCGCTTCTTTGATCCACTTGTCGAGAGTATTGAGTACCCTTTGTTTTTTACCTTCCATGTCTTGTACTAGGAAGTATACTCCAATTATTCTCATTTTCTCTTTGTGCGGGAAGGCCAGGTCGGCTGCTATTAGTCTACCTGCAAGTGTTTTGTAATTGTAGATTCTGTATGCGATGTCTTTGTTGAACATTATATTTAAACCTTGTCCACTGGTCTGTGATTCTTTGTGGGTCCATATGGTTTGAAATTTTTTTATGTTGCCAGTGTTTTGATTGTTGGCGTGAACCGTTTGTCTTTGTAGTGACTATGATATCCCAATCTGCTGCATTGCAAAAGTTAAACCATGTTTCATATTTGTGTATTTCTACCAAGCCTTATATATTGAATGTTACTACTTTCCATATTGGCTTGTGTTCTCTATATATTGTTGTGAGTGCTGTTGTACTGGAGGTTGTGTTGTTTGTATCTGGATTGTGTGCTGTATTTGTTTCTCAGATGTCTGTTCTTTTTGTTTGTTGTTCTGTTATACTATAAAGATTTGTTAATTGGTTGTTGCTGGAATTGCCTAATTCTTCTAATGATATGGTGCTTTGATTGCTACCCATTATTGTCTATGTGAGGGGGGAGGTGTGCTACCTGAGATAGAGTTGAGTATGGTATTTTACATCTGATCCATGTGCTTGTCTAACTTCTGCATAGATGACTGAATGCATTGTTGTTGGGTACGGATGTCTTGAGTACTATTTTGGAGTGTTGTGTCTATTGCTGAATTTTCTTCTGTGTCGATGGGGGAGATGTCTTTATCCATTTGCTTTGTATAGTCTTCATCATATGTTTCTAGATTGACTATGCGTTCCTCTAAATCGGCTATGTCTTCTTTTATCTCTTGAATCTCTCGCCTAATTGTTTTGAGAATGTGGAGTACTTCTGCCATGGTTGTTTGGGGAGGTTGGGACTGTGCCTCATCTTCTTTAGAAAGTCTTGCTGCTACTGCATAGGAGCCTGGCCTGACTTTCCTTTGATTGTTGTGTGAGGTTGCCCTTCGCCTTATAGTTTCTGTGCATGCTGGCCTGTATCTGTTGTACAGTTTACCAAATTTATTGGCTTGCTCTGTATGGTACTGGTTCCAGTGTGATCTTCTTTCTTTGATTGGGCATTGAGCGACTAAGTGTGTTGAACTTCCACAGATGGTGCATAGTTTTGTATCGATTGGTTTTCATTCTGCTTGGGTTTCTTCAAGGAGGACATTCTGTGTTGTAGCTGCTTCCAGGTCTTGTTGGCTCATGAAACCAATTATTGCAAACCACTTGCGTCTGTATGACATGTGCCTAGGGATGTAGCATGTCTTAGCTCCAGTTTGTTCGCAAATAAGTCTGAGGTCAA